CCCCCGAGTGCGTGAGTATTACCGATCGGACACATGTGTATCTCTCCCTCTCCCCACCCCTTCTCTCTCTCTCGCTCTCTCTCCAAGTGACTTCTCTCTAGGGTGCTCTGCGAGAGAGAAGATGCGTGTATAGTACCCGCGACACCCCGAAGAGTATCCTGCCTTTTATTGCTGCACACGAATGCAAAAGAGCGTAAGCGGCACAGTCAATTTCACCGTAGTTTACAGGGAACACTTAGCGGAGCTCTGCAAGTTATTGCGGTGCATTTTCACCGTGCGTCACGGTGAGTGTCGAAGTGATTGCGCCCCCCCCCCCTAATGTTTTCAGTGACATTCGCCGTGAGCTTTAAGTCGAATTATTTGTGTTTGTCTGCGTGTGTGTGTGTGTGTGACAGAGAGGGAGGGAGAGAGAGAGAGAGAGGGAGAGATAAGTATAGGGGGAAGCCCTGATCCTCTGTTTTGGACCTTTATTCGGAGGATTGCGCAGGATTGGGCAGCCCGAGAGATAAGCCCTCCTCACACAGAGTGCAGAGAGGCCGACGAGGCGCTACTGGGGGGCACAATATTATCAACGCCCGAGTCACCGCCTCTCTTATCAGAGAGGACCGACCGCGTCTCGGTGGCAGCCCCCCCCCCCCCCCCCCCCCCGTTTCTCGTGGGGGGCCCGGGGTTTGCTGGGGGCCCCCCCCCCCCCCCCACACACACACACCACGCACGAGCCGCTCCGCCTAGGCTTTTGGGCAGCGGCCCTCGACTACATCTAATGCACGCCCTCCCTTCCATCCCCCCGCGCGTATGGTCGCGGGTCCCGCGCCACCTACCACCCCCGGGCGGGGGCGGGGGGCTCGCCGACCTCCCCTCGTCCTGTGTGTGTGTGTGAGTGACGCTACTGCCCCGGCCGGCAGCCTACTTTCACTGTCGTCCCTGCCTCAACACCACCACGGCGCAGCAGCAGCAGCAGCAGGAGACTTATTCGCACCTCGCGGACTAGTCCGTATCTTCCTCTCTCGACCGGGTGGTACGTACACGCGACCCCGCCCCCGCCGCCCTGCGTGCTGCCCTCCCCGCCCTTCCCCCGCACGTAATGCGTGCACGGCAGGCGGGAGGAGGGGGACGGGGGAGGGAGTCCTCTATCTTGCGTCACGCTGCGCCGCGGTATCGCGCGCGTGTGCGTGTGTGCGCGTGGGGCCAGTGAGCGGACCACCACCCCACCCCACCCCACCCCTCTCTTCCCCGCCGCTGGCACATGGATTTAGTAGTACTACATCCAAGCTCTTCTCCCCCCCCCCCTCCCCCTCTGCTCCGCCACACGCTCTGGCTGGACGCGGCCGATACAGAGCTGATCGATCGTCACACCACAGGGTCGCTGCTTCTGCTTCTGAGTCGATACTACTATGTGCCGCCAGTCTCATTCCAGAGGCACCACACTCAAGTGGCCGCACGACGAAAAGATATTCTTAATTGAGTTATTGAACGCGGCGCAACAAGCGCCGCAGTCGTTCCCCTTCGACGGCGGTTTTATTTAGTGTGTGTGTTTTTTTTTTTTTTTTTTTTTTTTTAACGAGAGGATTTGTGTTTCGGGCGAGCAGCACGGCCGCGCGTGCACGTTTACTGCACGTTCCGCACGACAGGGATGTCGTGCCGGCACACCGGCGCACACCTGGGCGGCCGTCAGTGGCGGCTGTGTTAGTTTAGGGATCATCCAAGAAAGTATAACGCCCGTCATTCGCCTGTTTTACGAGACAACTGCCAAGAAAGCGGCCCCCCAGTGAGAAACAGTTACATCGAAATGGTGTCAGACTGATATCGTTGTCGGTAAATTGTCGATTATCGTGTCGAATCGATCCTCAGATGGTCTTAAAATCGAGACATTTCCGATAACTGACATCTATTTGATGTCGATTCGATGTCACATCGATTTTGATTTCTCACTGGGCCAGCCCGCCCGAGCTCCCGTCAGCGCCCGAAGGGTAGGCAACACCTCGCCTGCAGGGCACGCGTGTACGGCGGGGTGGCCTATCCCGAGTCCCGCAGGCGCCGAGCCCCCGTCGTACAAACGTGCCGAATGGATCTGAGATCTTAGGCAAGAAAAGTGACGGCGTACTTTTCGGGACGATATCATTAGCTGGCCTTAAATTACTAATACACTAAATGAACACGCAAAGAAGCAACATATTTAGGCGTCAATTAGTTTTCCAGCCGCGAGTTGTTTTTGTTTTTTTTATTATTATTATTGAGAGAGGGGGAGGGCTGCACCGGGAGCGTCGGTATGGCGGTCCCTGCCGCCACAAAGCAGTCCCTGGCGGGAGCCCGTCGGAGCCCCACACGGAAACGGGAAGGGAGAGAGAGAGAGGGAGAGAGACAGATGGAGGCAGAAGAAGGGGACTTGTTTTGCAATGCAGCCGCGCGCGATGCAGGCTCTTGCAGGCCGCGGGCTTGGCTCACCGGGCACTGGAGGCGGGGCGGCGGCGGCGGCGGGCCTGGAGCCTGGAGCGCCTCTCTGGGGCGGCCTGGAAGTGAGGCTGGACCGCCGCCGGCTCGGCCTGCTCGGCTCAGGGCGGTTTCGTGAGATGTAATCGGGGAAGTGTGGACGCGGCCCGACTGTGGCCCGGAGACCAGGACCAGGTGGCTCGCCAGCCCCGAGGGCGGCCTCCAGAAGGAAAAGGTTTATTGCTTGCATTATTCTGTGGTATGTATTTTATTATTGAACCAATAACATGTTAAATCTAGATTCTCATTATTTTTTAAAATAATTTTGCAGTTCTGGTCTGGAACGCTGATTCATTTTTATTCAAGTGTTTTAAAATATTTTCAAGATATTTGGAATTTATGAGTTTGACCTAACTCTGATGCATATTTACTGTCGAGCCCATCGCCGCGGGCGGGCGGCGCGCCCACCGCGCATATCGCTGGCCGCGACGCAGGGAAGTGCCTGCCTCCGGGCGGGAAACTGTTCCATTTTATGGGGTTGCTCTGGGCGGGACCAGCCAGGCAGGCAGCAGCGGCGGCGGCTAAGCAGCAGCTGGGAGCGGCACGAGCCCCAGCTCAGCGATGATCGACGCTGGCAAGGAAGTCTACCTGCATGACCGGGACCGCGGGCGGGGGCTGCCGGGGCCGGGCGGCCGGCAGGGCTTGCGGCGTGGCCGAGAGGCCGAGAGTGAGTTCAGTTCAGAGGGACTTCACGTGGTTGCGTCAGAGATTATCGAGGAGTGCGCAGAGGGGCGCAGGACGGTGGCACTCATGAGTCATGTCGCCTCCAGATGCACCACCACGCCCAGGAGTGAGCGTAGGGATGTTAATTTTCCGAAAAAGTAAAAAAAAAAAAAAAAATGGAAAAGATTTTCGAGAATTTTTTTGAGAATTGGTTTTTCTGAAATCTCCAAATTTTTTCCTTGGAAGTTCCTAGTTGTTTTCTGGAAAAATTTCCTAAATTTTCCGGAAAAAATTCGAACTTTAAAATTCCTAGGTGGGAGCGAGTGCGAGCAGAGGGAAGTGCCGAAGTGGGGCGGCACCGCGGGCATTCAGGTTCAAACTCACGGCAGGCGGAACCCGGCGCGCGCATAAAACACCGGCAGCTGGGTACACGCCTCGGCGCGACTGCAGGTGCTGCAGGTGCTACATGTGCCGCAGGTGCTGCAGGTGCTGCAGGTTTTGCAGGTACTGCAGGTATACTGCACGTGGTACATGTGTTCCATGGATGTTGTAGCACGTTCCCTGCGGCTAATTTTTAGTGCTTACGATTTAACATGGGAGCGTGACCACACTGTGGCCGCAGGGAACGTGGTAGGTGCTGCAGGTGCTGCATAGTGCTGCAGGTGCTGCAAAGTGCCGCAGGTGGTGCATGTGCTTCAGGTGGTGCATGTGCTAAGAAGATGCTGCTGGTGCTGAAGACAATGCAGGTGATGCAGGTGCTCCATAGATGCTGTAGGTGCTGCAAGGTGCTGCAGATGCTGCAGATGCTACAGGAGGGGGGGGGAGGAGGTCGATCAAAGTGGGCTGCCCTGGAGCCGTCAGGTGGGCTGCAGGCAAAAGGCGGGCCGGGCGTTCCGCTGGGCCCCTTGGTCAAGAGGCGTGAAATGGAGCGTGCTAGTGCCGTGCCCGGCCCCGCCCCGCCCCCACACCTTATTCGGCTACCCGCGCACTCACCCGAGAAACATAGTTTGGCCATGCAGGGAGACGCGACACAAGAAGGAAAATGGAGCGTTTACTGAAACAATATAACAAAGGACACGCGCCTGTTTCAGATTTTTTTTCAGTGAGCCGCCTGATTGAATTATTTTGGATCGGGCTCTTGAACTGTTTTTAACAAACGCTCTAGTATATTTTGCGCGCGACACGACACGGCTCGCGGGTCCTCCGCAGCAGAGACGTTGACGCTGGAGACAGGTGCGCACTGCGGGGCAACACTGCGAGGCCGCGCCGCTGCGGCGACTCTCTCGTCCCGCCAAGGGAGAAAAAAAGGGTATTAAGGTCGTCCTTGAACTTAACGAGGCGTAAGAAAAACGTCCCGAAGAGCCAAATATTTCTTTGAAGGTTGCTTTCTTTTACGCGTCCAACGTCTATGTTGCTGCAATCGGTCTACGTTGAAGAGTTCTGGGGCCCTGAAGATCCCGGGTGAGGTGTGGTGAGGGGTTTCCTCAAGCTCATATCAGCAGAACTTTGTGCTAGAGCAGCGTGAAAACAAATAAATCAGCCCGTCCTCTTGAATAGACGTGGTGTCGAGCTCGTCGTCGTCGCCGTCGAGGCGCCCGATCGATCAGACTCGTGTGAGCCGGGCTGCCTGCGGTGACCGCTGACCTTACGGCCGCCTGAACGGCTGCCTGTACGGCGCAGTAGTAGAGTAACGGGGACGGCGATGAGGACGGCCTAAATTAGCGCCTCTGAGAGTCTTCTTGAAGGGATTAGAGAGACAGGCGGGCGCGTGCTATGCGGCTGCGGCCGCGGCGGTGCCCGCCCATGCAACGGACGTGATTCGCAGCACAGCCACCCTGAAGTGGTGGTGGTGGTGGACCGCGCCGTCACGACGGGGACCCCCCTGGACCCGGTGTGGACACGTGCGCCCTGCCCCTCCAGTGGGAGGGGGGGGGGGATGAAGCCCCATCGGAGTGGGGGCCGGTGGGGGCGGGTAGGTGCCGGGCGGAGGGGGGCGGCTGCACGCCGCGCCGGGGCCGCCGTCAGTCGCCAGCCGGCACGCGCGCGGGGACGCCGCCCCACCGTCACACCTGCGCGCTGCACACGAAACACGGCCCCGTCGCGAGCAGGCCGCCGTCAGCGACCTCCCGCCGGGGACCAGTGTCGTCGTCGTCGTCGTCGTCGTCGTCGTCCTGGGGGTGGCGCCGGGGGCGGGGACATGTACGTCAAGAGGCGCCGGCGCCGGGGGCGGTGCTGTTCGCGCTCGCAGTAGCGCCGCCGCGCCGCCTCCGGAGCCATGCGGCGGGCCAGCGCGCCCTGCCCCGCCGTGCTGCTGCAGCCGCTGCACCGCCTGCACCTGCTCGCGCTCCTGCTCGCCGCCGCCCTGGGCGCGCTCGTGCTCGGTGCCGCCGTCGTCGGGGACGGCCCGCCGCCCCCGCTGCTCGCACTCGCGCGCCCGGGGGCCGCCATGTCGCCGGCCGCCGCCAGGAGTGAGTACTCGGGGGGGACCTAGGGGACGCCTCCTGTAGCGGGTGGCTGCACTCATACTACACCCCGTGTAGCTGTAAAACGTCGCAAAAGGAAAAGGGATATCGTCACGACCGATCACAAGACATTTTCTGTTGAGAGATCAAATTAGTTCTTCCAGTGTGTTATGGTGCATGAGCCATATGACGAGTCAAGCGTTTATTAGGGAGGTCGGACAAGTCCATCATCACCCAGCCCAGAAATGAACATCTAACTATTCTACTATGTACTTATGTCTTAGCGTCTTCCTGACGATTTTTGGTATGCTCTTAAAGAGACCGATTTCGAAATAAGGGCAATATTATGCTTGCATGGCGAATTTCTTTTTCAAAATCACCCGTTTGCACGAGCTGACAACATTTTTGGTTTTGGGATCACAATTAACGTGGATTCGTAATCGACTTCTTCTGATTGCCAGTGTAAGGTGTCGTCCAGAGAGAATACGTCCACTTTTCTCAGATTCACTTTGGCAAAATCAGGGGAGCTCGGCGCCTGCGAGACTCGGGGTAGGCCACCCCGCGGTACACGCTTGCACTGCAGACAAGATGTTGCCTACCCATCAGGCGCTACGAGAGCTTGCGCAGAGGCTGAACTTGGCGGGTCCATAGCGGAGCGGCTAGTGACGGATGGTGATACGCGCTTAGGAGCGCATGCCGGTGGTATGGAGGATGAGAAGTGAGAGGGAAGAGGGAGAGGCAGGAACAGATACAAACAACATGGAGAAGGCCTGGGGCCAGCAGGCGGGCGGCGGCGCGGCAGCACACCGAGTGCACGAGGTAGAGGAAGCTGCTTGCCTCAGCGGCCTCGCAGCCCGCGGCCCCGCCAGCCAGCAACCAGCGCGCGGTATTTCGTTTCCCAGCGGCAGCAAAACCGATTCCGGGGCGAACGTCAAGAGATGCCTGTGCCTGTACCTGTGCG